CATTTTATATATATTATGCATTTTATATATATTTATAGTTTTAATGTCTTTGTAAGCCACCCAGAGTCTTCTATTGTGGGAGAGACGGGTGGTGGAGAAATCCAATAAATAAATAAATAAATAAAATATATGGAAAAATGTAACTCTGCTGTGTTCATTCTAGGATTCGCACCACACTGTTTTAGATGAGGAATTTAGAACACGATATAAAACAGAACCTCACAAGAAGAAAAACAGCTACGGGAATTTTGAGAAGAAATGCAAGATGCACTGCGTCAACTGCCATCATGATTGGGGAATCACAGTGAAGTACAAGGTATTTGAGGACATACCGATCATCAAAATTGAGAGCTTTTCCGTTCAGGATGTTGTCAGCAATAAGCAGTTTCACTTCCGAAAATGGAGGGATGTTGATTTTGCGATGAAAGACTTTGATATTGATGAAATGCCTGAATGAAGTGCTGTCGTCTATTCAAATTTCTGCTTATAGTCTTGTACAAACACATTCTCTTTTAAAGTCAGATGGGTGACTGGGATACTATTAACTTTCCAGTTACTCCAGCATGAATTCATACTCCAAGATAGCTTTGGCATCTATGTGACTTTTAGTATCCTTCCATTAGTCAGTGCTTCTTCAGAAAAACTAATCTGTTGCCACTGCTGTCTTTTGATTATGCAATTTAATAATAAACATATGTTTGAAGCTTTAAAGGCTCATTGGTTCTTTGAAGAGGCTGGGAATAAGGGGTGGTTTTTAAATTATAGCTGTACCTGGCTATTTTAAAAAAATCAGGGAAATGATATTCTAGTAATGTTAAGGTGAAGTTGAACTAGAATGAATACCAATAGTTAAGAAGGTCAAGTCTTCATGCTTGTAATTCAGGACTCAAGGTACTATACCAGCTAGAATGTATTGGTAGGATCCCATTGCGGTTGCAACTTTTTATTGCTCTAGAAATTATCAGAACCTCAAAGTGTGTTCCCTCCTAATAAAGCGAAGGAGATCTATCCTTTTCCTTGAACCTCTGTTCCAGGAAACGTGGGATAGCTCTTCATCTGGGACCGAATGCAGACAAAGTAAAATCCATAAAAGATTCTACTGATTTTTGAAAACAGGTTTAGTTTATTACCAATGGCTTTAATCCTGCTGTCCCCTGAAGGCACTGTGTTCCCATGAATGAGGGCACACAAGAATGAATGCACACGTGCCAAGAATAAATAGCTGAGCCATTTAATCAATTTAGCAGTATTAAAATTTCAAGGAAGGATTTTGATAAGCAGTTTTAATACAATAGTACTGGGTTAGTAACTTCTGAGGCAGGTAGGAAAAGGAACTGGTACTGTTAATTGCTGTATAAAATGTTGAAAAGAATCTAGCCTCCACATACAACATGGATGATAAAAGTTTTCGTTCCACCTACAAGTACAAAATAGTTTGATGAAATACAGTACTGTAGAAAGGATGAGTTCAGATATACACATAAATCAGGCTAGTGGCCAAAAGACCTAGACTATTCTAACAGTATAAAAATACCCTTCAGAAGACTTTCCCTTCCTTTCTGCTGAGACCATATCCCCCAGAATCCCCAGCTGGCACTGAAAGTCTGGAAGTTGTAGTCCTAACAAGCTTGGAGGGCATTATGTTGGGGAAAACTGTAAATTCCCTCAAGTTGTTACTGTATATTTTGTTTTTCATAATTACAGCATTTATAATTACTGAGCCTTTCTTCTCTGAAAAAGGTGGGTTTCTGGATATGAGCAGTGGCTCATTTGGGGGTTAAGATGCCATTTTGCGAATCATATAGTTCAAGATACCACCATTACGAAAATAGGTGAGCTCCACGTCTGTGTCAAACCTCATGATGGCTTGAAAAGTTTTTCCTGTATCCAACTGTAGAGAGAACATAGAGAACAAAGGATTAAGCAAAGGTGCAGATAGTTTAAGTAGCCCAAACACTGATCTTTTTAGAAATTATGCCAAAACTCGAAAGAAATAGGATCTCCTTGGAAATAATATTACATGACCATGCATTCCTTCCTGGATGCATTCTTTGTGTGTCCAGTTTCAAGAAAGCTCTCCTAACTTCTTAAATTAGGAGTTTGGGGACATGAGGACAATGTTCAAATGTGCACACACAATATTTCAACAAATGTCAGAGGCTCAAGGGTATACACATCACTTACTCCTGTCACACCCATTAGAACACTTACCTCACTTATAGGCCTTGCCATTCACCACAGTGCCAAAGATGGTTTTCACTGAATTAAAAACCCTATTTATTCTGGGTGTCTGAACAGGGCTTGTGGCTTAAGGGCTTCCACCAAATTTTGTTCCTTAAACCCAATGCACAGCCACCCAACATAAAATTGTGCACCCTTCATGCATATGCATACACACACACACCCCATTGCTACACTGAAGTTATGCATCCCTGGAAACTCTTACTTTGATCTGGATATTCATTCTGGGTGCCAGGTCCTCGGGAATAACGATTGTGTAACGTTCCTGCCCTGTCAGTCCTAGACTCTCTGCATCCTGGCCTGGGAGATACTGTAGAGGAATGACTCCCATGCCCACCAGATTACTGCGGTGAATTCGCTCGTAGCTCTCTGCAAGGACTGCTTTGATACCCTGAGGGACACACAAGGACATTGATAATGAAATAAAAAGGGTTGTAGAAAAGAAGTGGGTAATTATTTGTCAGGCAATTATGCAGACAAAAGACCTCAGGTCCATTCTCAACACCTCTGGGTAGGGTTGGGAAAAAGTCAGTGGTGATGCTGTGCTACGAAGGTCAGGGGGCTCCCTCAACCGAAGTAGCTTCTCAGTTTCCTAGTCTTAAGACATTTGAGAAGCTTGTCAACCAAAAGCTGCAAAGCAGTAACTTCCCCTCTTGAAAGGGCAATCCCATCACAAATACGAACATAACCTGAAGGAAGACATGGCGGGCAAAGGCAGAGGAGAGGAACACTAAAAAAATCCAAAACTCCTCTTGCAGTGATATTATGTACACGTAACAATAATGAAACAGAACATTTCCTTTTGAAGCTTAACCTAGAACTTAAAGAAGCTACGTTCATCCATTGAACCAAAATCTATTAATGAATGCTCATGTGGGTAGCTTGGATGTCTCTTGTCAGACTTACTGGGCAAAACATTTCCCTCCTCCTTTGCCAGATGCTGAACATTCCATGAATTTGGGGAGACTATTAGAAGCCTGCTGATTTCAGAGGTAATGCATTAGCACGCTTGGGGGTTCAGGACTGGCAATCTGAAGGACTCTGCTTGCAGAAAGAAGGCAACATCCAGTTCTCTCCAAATTTCTGTTTGTTCCTTTTTATATGTTATTGGATAAGAGAAGGCTTCGATAGTGGATATCCATCGTGGAACTTTTAAATAATATTGTCTTCTTGTCTTCTCCCATTTTAAAAACAATGCCTCTGGAATATAATG